TTATTAATTTATAATATGCATGTGACTATAAGCCTGTCTGTGAGTGCAAGGGTACCTCGTGTGTGTGCATGGTTGTATGTGTGTGTGTGTGTGTGTGTGTGTGTGTGTGTGTGTGTGTGTGTGTGTGTGTGTGTGTGTGTGTGTGTGTGTGTGTGCTGCAAAGCTTCCTAAAGAGGCAAAAACCCCACGTGCAGCACGGAAATCCTAGGAGAATTTTTGCCAAACTTGCTGTTTTTTATCGACTTGTGTGCAACACCACGGATATTCCTCAGTCAAAATTTCTGGCGCACGTCAAAAACGGACGTACGGTCTCGACCTGTGCTCACTTCGGCGGCAATATAAGCTGCCGTTTGCGCAAAATCGAGTATTGCATCAATATGCCACCAAGACGAAAGCTGAGAGACATTTATCGTGCCAGAGCTATATGCATGGCTGCAGGACGAAGTTGGAGCCTGAGAAGCTGCCAGAAGGCTTGCAGTGTCACAGTGTCACACTCTGTCATTGTCCGCTTGAGGCAGCGCCATCAAGCCACTGGATCAGTCCAAGACCGCCCACGTGCAGGTCGACCCAAGAAGATCACTCAGACTGTTTGCAAGTGGTCCTTAACTTATGTTAAAGTCTGTAGATACCCATCTGTCTATTCGGGTGTTGTAGCCCTCTTACGCCGCGTTAGCCCTGACTGGCCGGGTAGAGGCAGCCCACCTGCTAAATAATCTAAATTGTGGCAACTGGGGCGTAAAACAGTTATAATGGGATCCTCAAAACCAGCTACAAGTTTCATAGAACTGCCCCGTTGTCTTACTTACTCTCATTCAAAGGTCCTGGGTTCGAATCCTGGTAGCGACAGGAACATTTTCTCCTCTAAAGTTGTCTCCTTTCATCTTCTTTCCTTCTCTCTTGCAATATTCTGTTGTCTGCTTTCGTCTCCACTTTCTTCCCCCAGGACCACACCCTCTTTGCCCCCTCCACTGGGCTCCTGACTCTTTCTGCAGCCTTTCAACGGCTACTCCTTGGCTCCTTCTTACTGCTCTCTCTCTCTCTCTCTCTCTCTCTCTCTCTCTCTCTCTCTCTCTCTCTCTCTCTCTCCCTCTCTCTCTCTCTCTCTCTCTCTCTGTTTCTCTCTCTCCCTTTCTCTCTCTCTCTTTCTCTCTCTCTCTGTTTCTCTCTCCCCCCCTCTCTCTCTCCCCTCTCCCTCCCGCTCTCTCTGTTTCTCTCTCCCTCCCTCCCCCCTCTCTCTCTCTCTCTCTCTCTCAGCCTCACACCTGATCTTCTGGTAGGAAAGATCTTCACCTAGGCCTCTAGGACAAGGGCGAAAAATCTTGGAGGTCCCGTGTGTAAGTCGCGCACGTTAAAGATCCCTTGATGGTCTAAAATTGATAAGAATAGGCTTCGGCCGTCACCCGGGCAAAATTCAAAATTTCCTACCAATTGAAAATGTTTGGTGTGTCCTGCGCGCTCATATGACCTTATGCAGTTGCGAGCGCTGTAAAACACTTACCAATAAGAACAACAACAAAACCCCCGAAACAATACAACAAAAACCCCTCCCCCAAAACAAAACAAAACAAAACAAAACAAAACAAAACAAAACCCCACCTAAATTAACAACGGTATAAATAAACAGATTTCAGATTTTTTCTTCAAAATTTTCTTTTATTGTTGGTAAAAAAAAATTCACAGGTCGCACTCATGCCTCTATCTCGCTCGATCTCGTGGGATGTTTCTCATGATGTGATGGTGGTAGAGTCGGACTCGCCTGCAGCACTGGACGGCTTTAGTAGAATTGTGATCGTTTTCTATGGACACAAAAGATGAAATAAGATAAGATAAGATAAGATAAGACAATATGAGATAAAAAGAATTTATTACATGAGTTATGATGGTCGATCATGAATCCTACGAGTGAAACTGCCAAGTTGTAATCACGAGTTTCATTGAGTGATTACAACTGGCAATTTCACAAGTAGGATAAATCATGGTCTACCACCAGAACGAGTGTAATAAATGTTTTATACCATACTGATATCAGCTGGCGAAATAGACCCGAACCAACAAATTTCCGCCTCCTTTTTACGTAAACCAGCGGTCACCAGTTACTTTTATCATAAAAATCTTTTTTTCTTAAAATGTTTTTTTTTTTTTGAAAAATAAAAGTTGATGCTCCGTAGTGTTCCGAAATCAAGGTTATCCTAATCTTGAAGATGTTCGGAGCCAACCAAGCAACTACCGTAAGAAATCACATCTTTGGAAAGTAAGTAACTGGGTTCGGAGTCGATTCTTGCGATTCCTAACTTTCAATAATCGGAAACCTAGCTGTCCAGCACTAGTTTATGTGGTTCATGGATGGGTACTACAAATATTTGATTAAGAAATACAATCCAACCTGTCCAAGACGACCAATCATTGACTAAGAGAAAATGGTCACTTAAAACAGTTGACCGTCTTTGACAGTGCCATTTTGATGTTGTAAAACCTCTAGAACTCGGGGCGATGCCACTGACTGAAGTGTCTTCAGGCCATTCCCAAAGGGGAGATATTAATATGTTCTTATGCACAGTAGAATTGTAAAAGGGCTGATTCAACAATGCTATGATCATGACTGTGCCTGAACTGCAACAGGGAACTGTTGCTTTTTCTTTTCTCATCCTTACTATCGTCATTTTCATCTACTTTTTTTGGTATGTTTGTCACAGTCTTGTTAACTGCTTTTTCCAGGGTGCCTCGATAGTCGAAGCAGACTTTGTTCTGTTGAAGCTAAAGAGGTGAGCAGAGTAAGCTTGATTTCCTGTAAGAACTTCTCTGTTGACATCCACCCCTTGGCGCTCACATGACCTTATGCAGTTGCGAGCGCCGTAAAAGCTCTACTAAAACTTTAAACTTTTTAAAAAGGCAAATGGGAAGTTTTCGTTTGCACTGGTGATTGTTTTGTCGTCTGTATCGCAGGTTGGACTGTGTCTCTTGTTTCCTTAGAATAATAATACAAGTATTGTTATCATACTCACGTGTTGCAGTTTGCCTTCCTCTTTCGGAAAATGATGTTATGTTTAGTAGTACCTTCCGTACACTGTGGGAGGAAAATGGAGGGGGGGGGGGGGGATAGATATTAAAGCTTGACCGTGCCCTTAGACAGCGTAAAAAAAGAATATGTTTTATTTCATGAATAGATTCTTCTTTTTTAAATGGTGGTGTTATTGCCGCCGCCCCCCGCATCCCCCTCTTCAACGTAATTTAGCCCAATTTTGGGGCGTGCGTCCGACTCTGGCTGTGAGAGCCAACCTGGGCCGAGATGGAAACAACATCCCGTCAGAAGGACTGAGATACTCAAGAAGACTTTTTTTCCCCTACGAGGGAATGGAACTCGGGTCTCCTCCCTGCCACAGCGAAGCGCCTAACCGCTACACCACAGAAGCCGATGTCAAGGTTATAATTTTTTTTTACTACTGGCAACATGCTTGAAAGATTGCACTGAATGCAGTTGTACATACACTCAGCATACGGTCAACCGTAATGAAGCTGACATTTCTTTGCTCTTTCTCTTCTTCATTTTTTGGTTCTGCGTAAACAATAATAAAACCCAGGCCTGTAGAGTAGCGGTAGGACGCTTTGTTGTTGCACGCAGAAGACCTGAGTTCGATTCCCGGAAAATTTTATGGAGCATCTGGTTCTGTCTGCTGGGGTGTTGTATCCTCAGGCCGGATTGTCCCGATAGACAGGATCGAAACCCTCCTCTAAATGACCGAAATTGTGACAACGGCGGCATAAAAAACAACAACAAACAAGCAAATAAAAAATAAAGCCCAGCTCAAAACTAACCCACCCCCCAAAAAAATAAAAATAAAGGCAGACCAAAAAACCCCCAAACGAACAAACAAAAAAGAAACCAAAGTAAAAATCTCAAACCAGCCAAACGGACAAAGATTTTTTTAAAACAACAAAAAACAAATAAACAAAAGAACAAACATATATGATAGACAAAACATTCAATTGGCGTAGACGACACGGGGGAGGAAGGTGATGATAATGATATTGTGGTTCACAGTCCATAGAGACTCGAGCACTGGAGGACGGGGACATTCTCTAAACACTTAGGAGGCAGAGAGACAGGCAGAACGAGAGCGAAAGAGGGAGAGAGAGAGAAAGAGAGAGGGAGAGAGAGAGAGAGAGAGAGAGAGATAGAGAGAGAGAGAGAGAGAGAGAGAGAGAGAGAGAGAGAGAGAGAGAGAGAGAGGGAGGGAGGGAGGGGGAAATAGAGAGGGGGAGAGAGATCGATAGATACACAGACACATCGATAGATAGATAAAGGCCATTACGTTTTTTTAAAGGACAAGCAGGCTAAACCAGATTTCGGGGTTTTCCAGAAATCATGACCTACACCAAAAGTGGTCTTTGCTCTACCAATAGGAGACGTTTGGTTTTATTGGTGTATATATTTGTTTGGTTATAGAGAAAACGCTCCTTGTCTTTTAAAAGAACTAGGGGAAAAAACTTTACCTTCGATTTTCTCAAAACAGCATTTTTCAGGATGGCCCCCTTGTGCTTAAAAGCGACATATGAAAAACTGTACAACACATCCTCCGGTAGTGCGGGACACATGCATACACATAGAACCCTAAAACAGGAAAAGTGGTCAACATCATTTACACTAAAGGAGAAGCTAACAGGTTAATAGAGGAACTAAGCAGGACTGCCCAGTGTATGATAGATAATAGACTTCGAATGTGATGAGATCGGGAAGTAGAAGACAATATTATAATGATATATAAAATTATATATAGATATATATTCTTACTTGGGTATCCATAGCCCATGCCATAACCGCCATAACCTCCATAACCGCCATAGCCTCCATAACCGCCAAAGCCGCCTCCGATACCGCCGATTCCGATAGCGCCGATTCCAAAACCGCCCATTCCCATTCCATAACCTCCGAATCCCATGCCGTATCCGCCAAAACCACCGATTCTGCCGATCCCACCGATCCCACCGATCCCACCGATTCCGCCGATTCCGCCGATTCCGCCGATTCCTCTATAGTATCCGGCTTCAGTGAGAACAGTTGCCATGGCAACGAGCAACAGGGTAGCGATGAGTCGGCTCATACTGTTGGCTTGCTCTATGGAAAAACGTTTTAAAACACACATTTTATTATAAAGTATGACTAAAACACTAGTTGATTTCTACTATTATAGTAATGGTACTAAGTCGTCTGTCATTGTCTTACGACCCCCCCCCCCCCCCCAAATTCGGGGCAGGGGTACGGACTGAACTGTCTTCAGGCCATTCCCAAAGGGAAAGGGGGCACATGTTTTTATACACAGTAGAATTGTAAATGGGCTGATTCCTCAATGTCATGCTCATATCTGCCTGAACTGCAAAAGGGAACTGCTGCCTTTTCTTTTCTCAACCTTACTATCGTCATATTTTCCTCTGCTTCTTCAAGGTTGTCACACTCTTGTGACCCTCTGTTTCCGGGGTGCCTTGATAGAGGAAGCAGACTTTGTACTGTTGAGGCTAGAGAGGTGAGCAGAGCAAGCCGGAATCCTTGTAAGGGCTTCTCTGTTTACATCCCCCCCTTGGGGCTTGTAAGAACCTTATACAGGTTGCAGGGGTAGTAAAAAACTCTACAAAAAAAACAACAAAATTGTCCTTACGATGGCAAAAGCCACCATCTGCCGAGGGAGAACTCCCCTTAAACCCTATCCGGACCCCCCTGGGGTCTTTTTTTTTCCCCCAGGGGGTTGTATTCTTCACATTTTAGGAATACTTCTAGTACAAATATCTCTTTGAACCTTTTATTATTTCTCAAAAAAATCATTTTGACAGCCCTCCTTTCCAAAGCCGTACGGGATCGGGATTACCGAGTAAATTTTCCCTCTTTGGAAAGGGGGAGGCCACCAGAGTCCCCCCCCGTCGTATGGATCCGATAGTAAAACCCCGCCGTCCGGATAGGGTTAAGCGTAATAGAAGAAATAGGGTAAAGAGGACTTGTGGCTTCTACTTTAGTGAGACCAATTCTGGCACAAAAGAGTTTGCCACATTTTGGGCTTCATTTCAATCCGAAAAGAGAGGGTGGGTGGTTGGCGGGTGCTCTGGTGTGGTTTGCTTCTACTTTCCTATCAAACATCTATCGTCCTTATCTCTCCTTCTTGTTTTTTATGTTTGTTACTCTCTTGTAACACCTCTAATCTTCTGGCGCTCATATGACCTTATGCAGTTGCGAGAGCCGTAAAACCTCTACTAAAATTAAACTAAAATCCAAAGAGATGTTCTTGAACTTCAGAGAGTTGGAGAATTTTATATATTATGGCTCTCACCCAGTTGGCTCTTTCCTTTCGTCTGATTAGGAACTCCTGCATTTCAGATGATTTGACAGTATTCACAAGAGAGTTATAAACCTGTGCCATACCAAAGACAGTACCCCAATATATATATATATATATATATATATATATATATATATATATATATATATATGTGTGTGTGTGTGTGTGTGTGTGTGTGTGTGTGCGTGCGTGTAATGTTTGACCGTGTCTATATTAGAAAGCTTTCTGAAAACACAAAACACACAGCAACTTCTTGTTGTAGTTTACAACATTTTTTAAGTTTAGGGAAACGGAGGGAAAAAGACAAAATCATAACTATAAAAATCATACTACCATTATAATCTATCGTTTCTCCTTTGGCTTTATAAATGCTCCATAACAGTATCACTTTTTTATTTGGTGACCTTTACTGTGAAACCTGATGCTAAAGGAATGGTTTGTTTCTGTTTCAGTCAAACCTGGAAGGTTGTGCTTACCACCAAATAAAATGTAAATCCATACTTGTAATGTGGATGGTTGATAGGGCGTTCTTTGGTGGGATGTGCTCCTTTATTTTCAAATAAAACTTCTGTCGTATGCTACTCCTATCAAAGATTGTACATAACAGGATTGTTCGCTCAGCCAAATTAGTGTCCCCGGGAGTCCGCGCTTTGCTTCAGATGGCTTGGCAGTCTTTGTTTTGAAGCTGTCTTTCGTTTCTCCACAAGAAGAATAGGAATAGCACAATTACACGAAGTAATACTTTTAAAAAATATTTACAACAGCTTTCGATGAAAGGAATGATTGGTGCATTAAGTGATTCTGAACCACAGTTAATTTTGTCAAATTCGAAAGTTAAGTGGTTCGTAAGTTTTAGGCGGCCAATTTAAGTGAGGAACTTTCACAAATATAATATGTATATATTAAACGAAGTAATACTTTTAAAAAATACTTACAATTACACGAAGTAATACTGGAACGGCTGAGGCTGTGGTTGTGGTGAGGTGCGGTGTGGTGCAGG